ACCTATCCTGGAGATTTTCTAAACTCTGGCAACTCGCTTGAGAGCAGCCTGTAGTAGAAGCCCTGATGTTTTCAATCACTTAGCGATGAATCCTCCTAACAACATTCAAAGTCCGATGCAAACCAATCTAGGGCTGTCAGGCTAAATTTGAATAGGAATATGAGAACAGTATTCTCCTAGCGGTCCTTAATTAAACACTAATTAACTTTTAAACCTTCATAAAATATTTTTATAACTTTTGTGAATATACGTTGACTTACAACTAGTTGAATGACACTTCTGTAATGGCCTGATAGTGCAGGTATACTGTACAAAACATTTTCAACATCATCACATGGCATTGTTTCGCCACAGTACGATTCATTACATCATCGCTATTTGTCTTTCACACAGCCACTGGAAACAGACATATAGTTTAATCCGACTGCAGACAACCGGGAGATTGGGATTTTACCACGCTGGTCATCATGGGAAAAGCTGGCTTCCTTCAGGCAAAACGATACAGCTTTTGTCTGCTGGAGGGGGGGCCAAAATCAACCAAAACTGAAAGTTCTCTAGTACTGCTTTTAAACATCAAACATACAAAGTGATTACAAAGTTGACATTTTAAACTGTATCTTTCAATTATCTGATAACAATAAGCATTACAAGAACAGAAAATTAAGCCTGTATTTCCTTACTTTAAGTCAGAAATATCCTGAAGTTCTCATATGTTCCAGGAGACATTGAGTTTAAAAGTTCAAAACATTTTCTCCAGCGTTTTGCTCTCTCTCCTGCTCACTGCCTCTTACGAAGAACGTTTGTAGCTTTGTGATAGCTTATTAAATCTGTTGTGCACGATCTAACTTGATATTTAAAATTTGCTTGGCAAGAAGTGTCCACAGTCAGAATAACAAATCAGAAAACACTTTCTTGTGAAGTATTGTTCCACACTGGAGCAATGTTGAACATGGTACTGATAAGGTTTGTTGCACTAACTGGTTGGAAAACAACAGGATATTGATGTTTTTAGTGGACTGGTCGCCAGTAAGGGTCAATTAAGCTATAGATTGGTCAATTGCAGTCACCAGCTAATCCCCGTCTGGAGTTGTTGCTACAAAAGGTACTTATATTAAAGTCTTGCTGTTTTATGCTTCTATTTATTGCTTTGTTATACTGATAAAACAATTTCCCATCGGTTGTAAATATGGGAAGAAGTGATTATTTTGTTTGTTTTATAAGATTAGAAGCAATTCTTACATGTAGGTCGTTGTCGTAAAACTCAATTTGTGTAAGAATGAATTTATCCTACTAAGACATAACTAAATTAATGTGATTTGAGCATGAAAAAGGTGATTATCTCACAAATTACTCAAATATTTGGGCTGACAGAGGCTTACTTTGTTGTCTGAATGCATGAATTGGCAAAGCGAATGCTTTTTGGCTGTCATTTGCAACTTACCTCTAACCAGATCAAAAGAGCTGCTTGGCATGGTGCTCGTTGTTGCTGCCTGAAAATCCTCTCAGTTCTCACCTCCACTTTCTCCAAAGCCAGAAGCATCAGTGAGTTCAAGGAGAAGAGAATCTTTTGTTCAAGCTACTCATAAGATTATATCCAGTCCCGTATCAATCAGCCATTGAAACAGTAATTGAATTTATGCAGAAATGTATTAAGCTTGATTACTGAAACATTGAACCTTATAGGAAAGGAAATTAAAAGGAAGATGTAAACTTATCATGCACTGAAAAGGTTCTTTTGTCATTTTCTGTAGATAAAGGTTATGATAAATTATGTATGCCATAATCAATATTCCTACATAAATGTTCTTTGAAAATGTGGATATTTATGTCAGATCTGACAGTATATTGAGTAAGTGTTTCTTCATTTTTAATTCATAATTTACACTGTTTGATTTATTCTTCATTCAGTTGCTTGCATAGGAATGTATTGTTTTTTTGTTGGTGGACCCACATAAGCTTGATCCTTTATTAATAATGCAAAATGTTTCCTATGCCATATGGCATTTAGTGTGTTTCTATATTTCCCAGTCTGGATATTGATAAGTAAACAGCAGCAGATATATATATATTTTTAGAAATGTTAGAATTTTTTATCCCTGTATCCTTGGGTATCTTTTTTTTTTTACTTTCCAGTCCCTTTATGTCCTTGCTTTTTCTTGCTTTGTCCTGATTTTCTTCCATCCTCCTCTTGAATTTATTTAGTTCCTTCCTCTTTTCTGCTTTTCTTTTTATTTTCTTACGTTATGTCCTCATATCTTTACTCGTTTGTGTCTTTTCTATCTACATCGTTCTTGATTTTGTCTTCCTTTATCTTTTTTTCCTTCTTTAACCTTTATTTCTTTTTTCTTCCATCTTCTATTTCCCTTTTCCTTTATATCTGTCCTTCCTTTTATTGCTTGCATCCTTCCATCTTTTCTTTTCTGTCCTTTCTTCCCTTTTGTTTGCCATTGTTTCTTGTCTTTTTCCATATGTTCTTGTTTTCTTTCGTCTCTTTTCTCTTATTCCTGTCTTCCTTTGCTAGTCATGTCATTCCTTTCTGTGCTTCCTTGTTGACGTCTTCTATTTCTTCTTAACATCCTCCGTTATTTCTTCCTTTGTTCTTTCCCTCCCTGCTTTGTCATTTCTTGTTTATAAAGGTTCTCTACATGTAGCCTGCCAACCTGTAGAAATCTTTGCCATCTTTGAAATAGTATAGACTTTAAGTAGTGTATAAAGTTAAGTCTGGAATTGCTTTGATTTTCTTCATAAAAAAGTACTTGTACCTCTTAGGGAAGTTAGATACCCATAGTGACAGTTGTTTCCTAATGGACAGCATTTAATATAGTTGCCTTTCATTGTTCATTTTCTTCAAGGGTTCGACTTTTTCCTGCTTATTTCTTTCTGTCACATGTAGGTATCAGTTGTCATAAATGGCTGCCAGATTGCAATAGAGTCAATTGGGATTCCTGCATTCTTACAAAGCGATCTAATGGGTTTGATGAGATGGTTTAATTTCAAATACAGTTTTGCACTAGATTGAAATTTGAATATTAAAATTTGTTCTGACAGCCTCACAGTGTGCCTCTCTGAGTTTGTCAGAGCGCCCCTTTGAGCAGATTTAAGGTTGCGCTGTTAATCAACTTTGACACACAGAAAAAACTGTGGTTTTTGTTTCACTTTGCAACCAGAAGCAAAGTTATAGCTGAAGAGTGCTGCACCATGTGTTAGCAATTAGTGTGTGCAGCAGATGTATCTGGTTGAATTTCTGAAGGAAAATGACAGAAAACACAGACTGAATACTGTAAGCGGGGCCAGCACCACCTCGTATATTTGTCTGCTAAGCAGCTTTCTCACACTCCCACATTAGGACTCATTAATGCACTGGAAAGGCGGATGTGTAAGAATAGTTATTTGCTGAATCTTTCCAGCTCACTAGTGATTAGATTCACAGAAACACTTTGGTTGAGTTATGTGACCGAGTGAGAACTACAAAATTTGTGGCAAGGTGCAATTAAAATGTTGGTTTTATCAAAAAAAAAAAAAAGTCTATTTCAACACTCTGGGATTTTCTCAAGGACTTCTCCTACAGGCTCTGTTAAACAATCACTGCGGCCACTTTGATAAATTCTTTCAACAGTATAATCCATTTAGTCCAAAAATGAATTACCCTTAGAGTTTTTACATGTAAAACATTTTTTTAGCTTATGTCAGGATCATTTTATCCATTAATATATCTGCCAACCATCAATGGTTCCAGTGAAAACTTAAATTTTAGCTATTTTTCTTTTATCTGTTGTTTTTATGATGACACATCCAGTTTCTAAATTATCTGAGCATTTCAGGTGTCTCTAGTTAGACCTGAATACATCAAATTCTAGCTTCTATTTCATGTTTCTAGCTCCTGTCGCTTCACTTATTGTGGGACTAAGATTAGGAACACTATCCAGGGTAGGAAGAAGCTCCTGGCTGCTGTGCTGAATCCAGACACTCATAATCCTTATGGACTTTGTTACATGGTGGAAACGCACATTAATGATGTCAGTCCAACTGGCACTACAGTGTTCTAAAAAAATTTAAAAAAATCTACTAAAACAAAATGACACAAATTATAGTCACTGTAATAAAAGGCAGCAAATTTTTACCTCACATGAATGATCAGCTGCTTGAGCTTGTGCCTCTTCCTGGATGTTCCTATTATTGGCTAGAAGCAACATCCCCATTGCTAGCTGAAATGTTAACGTAAGAACAACCTACCCGATAGCAATACATCCATTAATACTTTCCTCCATAGTTGATCTGCAGTCAGTGCTAGATTGCAGCCTCTATTTCCTGTTTATTACAGCCATGCTTGGTGACGTAATGTTGACGACGAAGTATTATGACATTATACTTTGAGATACTTGGTTAATTTGCTTCAGACCAAATAGAAAAAGCAAATTTGCATGTCCTTTTATGTGAACTTTTTAAAAAAGCTTAAAATTAGTTTTTCAGTTGGATGGGGGAAAAAAAAGCTTATGCTAAACGCATTAGCTCTTGGAAGCATACTGCTTCCTGATGTTAGCTCCTTCCTTATTGCCGCCACTATTTGGACAGCAATTGGGGCCACCATTGATGCGCTTCTGCCACAAATAAAGTTTCCTTCCCGATTTGAGGTATACCGATGAAGCCTCTGTTGTGTTCTTAAGTGATTGTTAGATGGGGGTGACGGACTTGGGGTGTTGTACACAGAAATACTGGATCTAATCTGGTCTGTTGTGGTAAAAAAAAGAAAGAAAATTGAGTCTAATAACTTTGACCAGTGAATGGTCAATTGAAAACTAGAAATCTTAAGTTGTCTTATCTTTCAGTCAGTGAACATACCACACTGATGTGCTTTACTAGAAAACTTTTTATGATGTAGAAATTTCTACTGAAAGAACTTTCAGATGTAAAATGAAATTTGAAATGAGCAGAAAACGGGAAGTGTGAATGCATTAAACAGAAGTTTCTAAGATCTATTTTTTGTTGTTGTTGCTTTGCAGCTGTCTGTCATGGAACGTGTTAGCTCTTCAAATGCTCTCAAGCTGCTGGATATCTCAGAGTTATGGTAAAGGTATGTGATCTCTAGTAAATACAGCCTGATGATTACATATACTTATTTTTTTGCTTTTTCTGGGGTCTGATATTCAATCTCAGCTGGTGTTGTTACTTACGAAAACAGCATGAACAAGAATAAAAAATACTCTATCCTTTAATTTCTTTCCAGCAACAGCACTCTGATTAGTCTGTATCTATAGAATACACATTTTAATACTTTTACAGCATAAGTTTCTTATTAGCCTTTTTTACCTCCACACTTTTGTAAAGACATGTTTCATCTTGATTAGTGTGAGATGCTTTTTTGTATTTTATGTATTATCACCAACTAAAACTTCCAGTTTTGTGTAAACGCCAGAGAAAAAGGCTAAACACAGAAATATTTGATGCATTCTGATAACTTTCCAATGGTCGTACTGCTGAAATACCTTATTTTCAAAGCATAAGAGTAAGGTAAGGTTAAAGTATTGTATTTTTTTATGTTTTTATCAGTATGTTTTCTTTTGATATGAAATGCCTCATGAACTGCCCCAAGATTTGTCCCATCAATCTGCTGTGAGAGAGTGGGCTTCTTCACAGGCTGTCTGCCATTCTTTCATTGTGGCCCTGTTGGGAATGGTGATTGGATCTCAGTCAACCAGCAATAGATGGATTGGCCCTCAACTGGGATGATTGAGTGGTGCTGCTGTGTATGCACATGTATATATCTTTGTGTGTGCCCTATTGTGTGTTGAGTGAGCTTACCGTGTGCGCCATGCTACCCTCTCTAGAAACAACAGCATATCTGTTTCGCTCCATCTCCTTTCCCCCTCTCATTTGAATTTTGAGTTCTCTCAATCATTGGCAGCACTGCTTTGCACTGCCTCTGGCTTACTGGTACAGAGCGGGATGGTTTTCCTTTGAACAAAGATTCTTGAGTCAGACATCTAATCATTATCAAGATTTAACTGAATGTAGACCCTGTGGATAATTAAATCCAAGTTGATGCTATTAGAGTATCCATGATTTAAGATGAAATGATACAAGATACAGAAATGGCTGTAGCTTTCAATGCCATTCATGATAAATGGAAGACCTTGAAAGTCAGTCTTGGATTATATATAGGTATAGGTCATTCTCAACTTCTGCTCACAGTTTTTCTTCTTCTTCTGTCGCTCAACTAAGCTGCTCCAACATCCCATCATTTTTTTTCCTGTTTTTGGTTTGCCTGTACCTGGCACACATTCACTGTGTATGAATGGTCCAGATAATGATCAATGATCATGACTAGACCTACAGTTGTATCTGTGCGAGGTTACAGTTCTCTGGTTGTTATAGGGACACACCACTGTGATCTGCTCCAGAAACTAAACTATTGCACAAATAAAACTGTTCAAAAGGTTTAGTGTGAAGGCACTGTAAATCAACATTAACGTAACTGTAGATGGAAATGGAAAAATGCCCTTTTTGTGTTAGGAAAACTGTCACACAGCCTGATCTAGAGCCATGTCACTCATAATAGTGTGCACTTTGTTGCATTAGTCTATTCCTTTTTTAATGACTTGGTAATTGCTTTGTCCCTAGTTATTGAGATGACTGCCATGCACTATTACAAAAGTTTAATGATCTGTAACTATTCCTCTTAACAAAGCCATCAATCACTTGTGTCACCATGGCAACAGTAATAGTCATTGCACAGATGTTGTAATCAATTGTGACGCCCAGTGAAGTGGCCCCCCTCCGTGGAAGTTCCTGTACCTGCAGAAGTCTGCCTTTTTGAGTTTTAAAAAGGAAGTTTATGCAAACATAATGGATGGCATGTTGGTGCTATTTATAGTGTTGTGGAAATGAGGAACATTCCCCCCTCCTCCTCTCTTTATTCTTCATTTTATGAAAATTTACTCAGGCTGTGGAGCAATCAGGGGAAGTACAATCATCTGTTTTACCGTAGAGTGGCCAAGTTATTATAATCAGAGCTGCATAAACCTAGGACTTATTTTTGCTCTTTAAGTATGTCAGTTTTATTCCTCTGGTCTTAAAGGTAGGCCTACATGAAGTCAAACACTGTAACGCAGAAGACACCAATGGGTGTATCTCTTGGACTTCAGTCATGAAAAACTAAAAAGAAACATCTTTTTGACTCATGGTCCTTACCTGCTGGTGAAAATAAGACAGAAATCACAGAGAAATCGCTTTGTGACCGGAATCAACCTATTTTAAGATTGACCAGCTTTGACAGGTGACTGCGCAGTCAAAAACTCAAAAATCCATTCTCTTTTCTTTACCCACAGGGCATCAGGTCACAATGACAACAACACACTTTGTTGGTGAAGTTGAGGCAGAGCAAGAGGGCGCATATGACAGGAAGGCCTATGTTTAGTACAACATACCACAGTGTATTTCGAGGTGCTCTCAAACTCTACCTATAATTGAACATGCTGGATTTACAAATAGATTGTGATGACAACAGTCCTCGGTATGGAAGTTATTACTGTGGAAAGAACAGTGCAGATTTGGTATGTTCAATCTACAAATAGTGTAAAAGGAATCAAAAGCCGTGTCTCCATTCAACTGAGGTGCGAAATTTGAGCCAACTTTTGCAAGTTTGAAAAAAAAGGAAATGTGAATTTTCAGTTTTTCCATTTGGTTTTAAGTACATTAACCCCCTGGAATTAACCAAGCACCAAGCAAATAACAAAGTCATCACACATGGCTGTAATAAACAGGTAGTAAAAACCAACTCCAGCTTTTCATCAATCTTTGTTGATGCGATACTTAGAATAAATATTGCACCTACCGTTAGTATATTAATTAATTAATTAATTAATATAATGCCAAAGCCCGTTGACTCTTTACTTATGGCTGCTGCATTATCTGTGGCAACATAGACATTTTATCACTTCCACAACAAATAACTACCTCACTTTCTCTCAGTGCTGTCTTAGAGGGTTTCGCTGCTTTTTCTTGAAACAACGTCAAGGGATCACCTTTTTTCCCCCTGAGTTTCACTCTACTGTACTGTGATTGGACACAATTTAGATGGGCATGTTTAGGTGTGGCGGTGGTGACACCACAACACCAACCCATCTCATTCCTGCTTCGAGCCTGGCCCCCCACCCAGACCAGACCACATTGTTAAAAGCATGTTGCTCGATTAGCAACAGCTGGTGGTGCAGCTTAAAGTTAGTCAGCGTGAAAAAGCTGAGTGCAGCCTTTCAATAGGAGAGCTTGAGCTTGTCACCACTGACAGGAAGCCATTCTGTGATATTATTGGATGAATGATTTGATTCATTTAATTTAGGTTGATCCTTGCTGAGATGAAGGTTTGGTTCAAATGTCACTAGTGATGTCAACACTTGCTGTGCCCAGGTTAGAAAAATAAGGCTAGGATCAGTTTTTTTTCAGACTAAAGATGAGAGATTCAAAATAAAGCAAGTTTTTAAAAAAAAATGTACACCATAAGTCAAGACGACAGCAGGTTCTATTACTGAAAGACAAACAAAGCTTAAAGAAAAGGCTTTGTGAGAATTTATTGGGGCCCTTTAGATTGTAGCTTCAGAGCCTCTTATGAGTTGTTTGCTCATTTATTGCAATTTGGGAACATAGTCTTTCAGGCTTAGGTGTGTTTGTTGTCTTCAACATATTACAGTTAATTATGAAAAAATAAAGGAGGCAGTGACAAAGAAACTGAAGAGGCAAGAAGCCATGGACTGATTGATATAATGGGGAAAGATAATCGCCTGGTTAAATGTGGATTTAATCTGTTGAGCTTCCAGCTAAAGACGATAGATGTTTGTTTCTTTGAACAATAGTTTCTAAAATGTTATATTGGAGAAGTTTTATTGACTTGGCATAAAAATGAAATGAAGTTTTTGCCATATCGTCCAGCCTTACATTAAACCTTCCAAGGTATTTTTTAGTTTAGTAAAGAAAGCATCAGATTAAACTGGTTAAGAAAATCAAATTGCAGTTGTCATATTGAAGTCATTTAGTTATTTACTTTTAACTCTGAAGGCTTTCCTGACAATTCCATTAGTTTCAGAGCTTCATACTTTTGAGTTACTTCTGCCTTTTACTATAAGCCAGTCATCTGATTCACTTCAACCACTTAGGCTTCAATTATCTCGTATCTCCTCAGTGATAGAAGCCAAGGCGCCAGCAGTGGCTCTTGCAGACTGCGGGACTTTCCCACTGGACTTTGAATCCTACTGCTGTGATTTTACCCATTGTTTTGTTTGGTTTACCCAAAATGCTTATAAAGACAGTTGATATCACTCTCGGTTTATTTGGCAAAAAATAAGGTTTTTGTCAGAGCGGAAAGTTGGTGATTCTACGTCAGATATTGCACATATATATTTACCCAAGTCAAGTCGCTTTATTTTTTTCTAAAGCCCTTTTCACACATAGATGGCACTCTGTTTATCTAGTGGCAGCTGAATATTTTGGTGTCATATCTGAATTACAGTCTTGGTGCCTTCTGCAACATTCTTTGACAGAAATATGACAGGGTTTGATTTTAGTAACCTCCAGGTTTTACCTTTAACAATGGTTACAGCCACTATAAATGGACAGCAGCGACAGGATAATCTGGTTTCTGATCATATGTTGAAATCAACATGACACAAGTTTTATATATGTGTATATATACTGCTGCAATGCTTTTTTTATCAGCAGAAAGATGTTAGAAGGAATTCACATTGCTGTTTTTTTTTTCTATTATACATTGCCTTGTAATGTGTAAGACCTAGAGAGATCCACATCTAACATGAGAATAATATGCTGACACAACAGCTACAAGCACCACAAATTTAACTTTTATGAATTGTAAGAATAGCAGGGCCTGAATAGATTTGCAGCTGTAATCCAGATGGAAGATGGTGTTACAAGATGTCCACTCAGAATGACTGAAAAAAAGGATACCACATTTTTAGGTTTGTTTCAAAAAGGTTGAAATGATGATGATACCTAATCTGACTTTTAATATCTCATCTAGTTTTCCATGCAATGACTGACAACTACCTGATGATAGCCACCTACCTTTTATTTGACAGCTATTGTAATAGTTTTGTACCAGAAAATCTTGGAACTGTACTTGAAGAAGGAAGAAAAAAAACACCCAAAGTTACTTGCAGGCAGATTTCTACATACTCAACAGCCTCATAAATTATGAGCTCAGTGTTCATTTCATGAAGTAACATTTAAAAACCTTTTTTTTTATTTCAGTCTTAAAATGTTTTGAACTGGAATATGTTCAAGAAAATATATGAATTTGCAAAAACACGAAAACAAAACTATCAATGATTTATATGTGTGCTAATTTCTGCCCCTCCGCAACTACTTCCAGTTTTCCTAATTCCAGCAATTGGAAATGTTACCTTTTCCTGCCTCTTTTGCAACACCCATTAAATCAATATATTTCCTCTTCTTTTTTTAAGTTTTACTTTTTTTTCATAAAATTTCTCCCTAAAAAAAGATTTTAGTAAAAAAAAAAATATCTGAAAAATGTAGCTAAATAAATATCATGACCCTCCCTTATAATCTACAAACCCAATCTTCTAGCTTTTTTTTGCACAGTCCAAACTTTTTTAATTTTCTTAATTTTAAAGTTGAAATATTGAAACTTTTTTGTCTATGCATCAAAGAGCAGTTAGTGGGCTGTTGCAAGTAGTTGTAATATTCCACATGAATAATTTATAATCTTCTATTTTGGTAGAGCCCCTCTAATATTTTCCAATAAAACACAAGAAAATGTAGTTTTGCATGACATATTAAATATATGGTTTGTTTCTGTTCTTTGTTGAATTTAAGGCATCAATGACCTAAAGCTAACATATTAATAACACAATTTTACATTACACCAAAATGATTGGTTCATTGTCCTTTTCTATATAAAACAGAGTTAAAAAAGGATTTGCTGCCTTATAGCAGATTTACCTTTGCACTTTGGTTATACCATAAAGTTGCTTCATGATTTAATGCATAAAAAGGTGAAAATAGCTACACTTACCAACCATTCCCATTTCATAAAGAATGGTTCCATTGTTAAATGATATATTAACTGCTGTTATTGAAAGCAACGCTCAACTTTTTTGGTTTATACTGGCAGATCAGCAGAATTAAGAAGTTTAAATTGATACAGAGTGAAAACAATAAAGACAATAAAGCAAAAAAGAAATGCAACGTGATGAGAATCAAAGTCAGCCTAGAAATTGTGATCAAGACATTTCTAAGGCTTTAAGACTCCCAAGGAAAGCCAGAGCCAGTGTGAAAAGATAGAAAAGCAGCAGTGGCCCTTCTCAGGAATCACATGTCTACCAAAATTAGAGCTGAGAAGATGATCAAACTTGACATTCTACAGAACAGGTGTCAAACTCTAGTCCTCCACAGCCAGTGTCCTGAAATTTTAAGATATGCCTCAGCTCTAACACATATGATTTAGATAATTATGTCCTTATCAGGATTTTTGAAAACTTGACTTTATGCTGATGAGGAAATTCACCCATTTGCTTCAGGATTGTAGGACTAGGGAGACAAGTTTCCAGAGCATCAACCTTCACTTTTACACCCCTGATCCAATGTAGGTAAAAACTGAAGCAAGGTTTCTGTAGATGAACCTGCAGAAGAATCATTGAATGGAGAATACTGGGTCTGTTTCCTCCTGCTCAGGGTTTAAGATTAAACAATTTGGAAAAGAAGAAGGCCAGATAAGAGCCTCTACTGGAGAAATGCACGAAAATACCAAGGCTGATCAAAAAAAGCTATATATTTTTTTTTTCCCCCAAGATAAATATCATGATTCCCCAATACCGTTAAAGAAATATTCAGTCTAATGGTAAAAAGAGTAAAATATTTTCCAAGGTAAACATCCTGTTATACACAATATTAACTGACTCACCATTTTAACTGGTTTCTAAACATTTATGGTAAATAATTATCATTGGGCTGTAATGGGTCCAGGAATAAAAATGATGGCCAAATTAGTCTATACTGAAATCTGGTGGAGATGCTGCAGCATGGTCTGATAGACAATTGTTTCGTACTTAAAAAACCCTCCAATTTGGCCAAATGTGAACAATGCTATGAAGAACAGACGACTATGCAATACAATCAGCTATTTGGAATCACTTGTTTGTAGCTTTTGCTATTTAGGGTGGGACAACCATTTGTTTGGTCAAATATGAACAGGTTGGTTTTAATTAAACAAATATTTAATAGAAAACTGTGTGTTTATATTTACTTATTTCACCTTTACTTTATTTTTTTGAAAGGCAGAAGTAGGACAAAAAAAAATCTGAAGACATCTGCGAGCTGGTCAATCTGTGTATGTAATCATAGTTAGGTTTGCTGGAAAAAACTGTGTTATACCCAGCTGTCTCCAGTAAGCTGATTTCTTCTCTGTGTCGGAAAGAGAAACATTGTTTTTGTAATTTGATGTGGTGGATTAGAGAACCTTGATTTCCCCAGGTACAACACTCTAGGGGAACATACATTTCTTTGCCTTTGTCTGCCTTTCTAATCGCTTACAAGTGCACATATGCATGACAAAAGGCAGCAATCAGGAGAAGTAATGCCACTGAGTGGCCAGATGAAAGCACAGATCATTACATGAAAGCGGGTGTCACTATGTGTAATCAAAATAATTCTTTGCTCAGCTTATACTATAACACCATGGGCCTTTTGGTGGTCTCTCTTGGCAGTGCAAATGTGACAGTTTGGGTAATGCTTTGCTTACCCCCCCTACTCTCAGCCCAACCTTTGACCTTTTTCATTAGACAAACAGGCCAGTGCATTCTCTAAGCTTCACTTTTGATTGACAGCATCTGACTGTTTCCGATGCCAACCGTGAGAAATGCAGGGACAAAAGCCTCCGTCTCCTCCCCTCTCTCACGACTTCCTCTCTTTTCTTGCCTCCCTTGTTTATGTCTCTCAGAAACAGCCCGCGTGTGATATCATATGCCCACCGAGTGGTCCACACATATAACAAGAGGGTGGGATACAGCAGATGCTAATTTTCTCCACTCCAGTCTGTTTTTCAAGCAGAAGTTGAATGGATTGGTCACGCTTTGTGCAAGGTCGGTGGTAATATTTTTTTTTTTCTCAGACACATTCATGCATTCTTTTGTGGATTTAAGCACATTACAGGAAATATTTGGAAGGTCAAGTCATTGCATCTGTGCAGCTCCACAGCTGATGTTCCCACCCCATCTCTCTTTTTTGTTTGCTTATAGCCTGCTTTAGAGGAAGTCCTTGATTAGTTCTGTTACAGAATCAGACAAAATGAGTATCTTCTTCCATACTGATAAATAGGGTTGTGACGATACATCCATGCCATAAGAGAGGATTTATATTTTGATTTTTGTATAGTGAAACCAGTAATGAAGAGAAGGTTTTACAGAAAAAAATACTGTGTTAAATCGTCAATCCACATTGAATTATATGATGAAAAAGCTTTACTAACTCCAAAAAATGTTTTAAAGAATTTCTTCTTAGCATTGAAGAGGCATAATCCTGCTGTGGTATAAAAGGTATCAAAATGTAAAACCACAAAAAATGCCTGTTTTCTTTCTACAATTTATTGTCCTCTTATACCAGAGAAAGATTCAGTCACCTGATTTATCTCTTATTGTATGAAACATAAAGTATTGCCTCCTCCTCCTCCCCCACCTGTTGTTGCAAACATTGGATAATTATCTCACTTAGTAAAAAAGACAACTTACTTAACCTACAAAGGTTTTAATAGACTTGCCCCTTATTTAAATTATCTTGTCAACATGTATATACATTCTCCTGCATTCAGTACTCAGGGAATTGACCTTATGATTTTGCCTAAGGACAGTATAACAACTGATCATAAGCGAGCGTTTTAATTTATGAGCACCTGATCTTAGTAACAGTCATCCTCTGGGTCTGTAACAGGCATGCTATGTATATTTTATATAGCGAAGCTAAGGACCCACTCGTTTTCCCTTTATGTGTCATGAGTTGCGTTGAACTATTCTTTTATTTGTTTTTAATGTCTGTTTGACCTACTTGTACAGCACTGTAATGAAAATCTCTTCATAAGGTGGCAATTATTTTACGGCTCAGAAGCAAACTCATACTACAATAAATTGAATAGATTTATAATAAATTGAGTCCCTTTTGAGTGCCTTTTTTTCTAAACATCAGTTGGCAAACTGTAACATATGCAATCAGTATCCTCACTTATTAAACAGATAATCATTTAAGATGTCAGATGCTGTATTTCATTCTTTGCGTGTCTTCCCACACGACCCAAAGTTTCTGCACACCCATGAAAGTTTTTTACAACACAGATGCCTCCAAAAAGGAAAAATATGCCGAATGAGCAACAGGTCGTACTGGCAGGGGTTCATAATCCATAGACATCTTATAATCTAGCCATATCATTAGATGTTGCCAAAGAGTGTGCGGTGTCCCCTGAGCGCAGAAGGGTATGCAACCTGTTGAAGGTGACCAATAGCCAATCAGAAAGCACCTGTGTACAACAACTCATCAGTGTAGAAAGCAGAGCCCCCGCTCGCCCTGTCTCCAGTCCTTAAACAAACTTGTTTTCTTATTGCAATTTGTTTTTCTGTTAAAATTATTCCACATACTATCACCAATGCTTCTTCTCTGCCATGTTTGTTTACTCTGAACTCACATTGGATCTTGAGAGATTTTCCTTAATGCAATCTGTTCATGTGTGTTGTGTTTTGCTTGCCATGTGTCTGTACACCACACACAGTAGGTTCAAAACTATTACATCTACATGCAACAGGTTAATCCTAAACTGTCTGATTCTGATTCGAAATCTTGCTGAGTGATCCAGGTGTTACAGATTTTTCAAAATACAATTTTTGCATTGAGAGACTGTTAGTCTACTTCCGAAATCCAAAAGTTAATTTTAAAATCTTTTCTTGATTCTTGTGAACCCAGCATTGTGCATTGTATTTCAACTCATAAGCTGAATGTATCATTGCACCCCATGAAAAGCCCAGGGTTATCCTCCCTCTGTGTTAGCATGTCAAGTTTTAATTTATTTTTCAATTTTGTCAATGTGCGGTTATTCTCATATCGAACTGATTTTTGTTATGCTGACATTTTTCATTCAGCTACTTTTACTGTATATCTATTAAGTGCTATATTTTTAGTTTATACATCATTGCATGAGCAGCAGAATCCCTTCTATTCCCCTTTCTCATTTACATTTGCGTCTTTGTCAGCTGTCAGACTGCCACGCCTTCTTAATATGCTGAAGTTAGGGCTGATGCAATTTCTACCTGGTAAAAGACTGATATTTTCAGCATAGTCATATAATTATCTTTACATCATTCAACAGGCCTCTTTTTCACTCTCCCCGCATTAGAATAAGTGCAGTATCCCAAAGTAGCTCTTTTTCCAGCAAAGATTTTCCTGAGGTGAAATGGAGTCAAATTTTGTAATAAACTATGAAGTGGCGGGTGACTTCTTAGCGAAATTATGAGTTTTATGGGACGACCACACTAAATAACAGATGTGGAAAAAGTATGTTGATAGTATCCCAGTTTTTAATGTCCAATAATAATAATACAAAATCTTTATAAACTTTTTTAAAATACTGCCCAAAAGCACTTTAATAATTTTGTTTAATTTAGTGGGATAAGGGAATGGCTCTATAGTGCAGGCATTGCATGATTTTCATAAATACTCTTTGTTTTGCATTTTTCCATTATGTCATTGAGCTTGTGCATGTTGTACAAAATCACTTTGTAGAATCTACATCTGGCTTTTTTTCATAGCTGTTCAGTTTTTCTTATATTATTGTACAATTGCTAATGTATTTTATTGTAGTCACCAATTTTCAGTGCTTTTGCCAGTCAATTTGCAAGTGGTGCTTTGAATTTCCTCACTGAGGAACAAATAGAGGATTATTCTCTATATGCAATGACAAGTATAAAATATTATTTTATTAGTAATGCAACTTTTTCCCTAATAGTTAGGGTTTTATAGAATTTTGTCTTGCCTTTCCCTTTTTTAAAGGTGAGGCAAAATAAAGGACCAGAGAAAGATACTTTTTCTTTCACTACGTTGAGCCATACCCCACCCCCATCAGCCTGCATCTGTTAATCTCTGATATAGCAAGGTGATAGAAGCCGTCCGCTTCTGTTGAAAGTTACTGTAGTTAATTTAACCCATTGGTTAATGATAACTGGTTTTAGTTGTTCTCTTGTATATTGTTGCTGAATATTTTCTCTGTTTGAGTAATGTCACTTCTTCAAGCCATGTCTTACATTCCAATCTACATTATGTATGATAAAGCCATGTATAATGGCTGCTGATATCTTATCAGGTCAACAATGGTATGAGCAATCTCAAAACTTCAATATCTGTATCCTATGCAAAAGCACAAGTTGTATCGAAACACCCCTACTATTTAGCTGAATAATCGGCTGGGCTAGCAGTTCAAAGAACGTTAGATCCCATACAGTAGATTTAAATAGTGTTGGGCAGTGAGAACCGGTTCTAACTTTCTCCGTTCTCCTGGTATCGTTCAAGCATTTTATTTTCAATTGATCGTTTTGATGCCCAACCCAATGAGCGGAAATAGAAGCTGACAGCGAAGAAGACTTCTAAGGAGTCTGTATGCAACCATCCATTTGTGCATTCAAAGGTGTGGATTAAAGTTAATTAAAGAAATTAGCACTTGGCTAGTTGGGACACCGACAAAGACGACACACCCAGCATAATTATAAAACCGGTGCAACAGCGTTGTATGGTAGGTTCCCCCTGGGGAATTGGTTCTTCCTCTTAATTCAGAGCGTAACTTCTCCTGGTGGAGCGGAGCCTGTTTTAAACTTTCTTCCTTTTACTTAACGTCCTAACAGAGACCTGCTTTGTTGCCCAAGTATTCTGAAGAGAATCAAAGAAGAACATTTATGTAGATCTGCCGGACTTTTCAAATATTTCAAGCATAACTTCGCCTTTTTTTTTTTTTTTTTTCCAAAGTATATTGTCATGAAAGCCACTCCTGCAGTGAGTACAAGTGAAAGTGAAATATTTTCATGCTCTAATTTCAAATTAAGGAGATTTATACATAATAAAGCATTCAAAGATTTATTGCAAGTTTTTTTTTTTTTTTACTGAAACTATTGTAATGCATTGTATTGTAATATTCTTGATATTTGATACAAGTGACGGCAAACTAGTCCTTTGTAGGAGTCTTAATTTATATATAGCATGCCTCATTTTTCACATTATGCAGAAAATGATGTATGCCAAATAAACAGATTTCTCAAGATCATGCAACATTACCAAACTGTGTCTTCTCATTGTTAGCTTAAAAATCACTCCAAAGGGATGTTTGCACCCTCCTCTCCTTGCAACTCGTTTGGTGCAGACACGGCTGACGGTTTTGAAAAGAACAGGCCTAAGGGAATGCAGTACTCACGTCTGATGTCATATCTTCCTGGTCCAGCACTTGTTCTTTTGGAGCTCTGTCGAACCAATCGCACTCCCCGCACTTACCAGACCCTCAGGCCCCACTTTGATCTCCCTTAACAAGCAGGACAGCAGTTCAAGCATCTTGTTATATTTGACTGTTTAATCCATCAAATATGTTTGTCTCAGCAATGGGCTAATGAAACATCTCTATTTAGGCCTGTGCCACTGATGAAGGAGTCTTGTGATGTAAAAACAAGACGCAAGGCATGAAATATTAATATATTAAAAGAACGCTTGTTTCTGCACATTACCTCTTGCCCCTATGCTGTTAATTTTAACGGTGATTTTCCTCACCTTGTCTAAAATAGTTTGACATAAATTCCCTTTTTGCCTTGAATTCTAATATCATGCTGAGGTTGTTGGTCAATGTTTTACAAAATCTCAGTCATGCAAAGGATGTGGACTCCTGACTCAGCCTTTTAGGTTGTGCCCTCCTGCTTGCATGTCCAATGCAATCTACTTTTTCAGCCCCCTGTGGCGAAAATGCCAAGCCACTAAGCAAAATGTCTCCACTAATTAGGAGCTTCAGTGGAAAGCTGTGGAAAAGCATCGTATGACTAACTTTTCCATCTTATCTCTTTCTTTTTCTTGG